ACATTAAGATACTACAAAATAAGCAACATACCAAAACCAACGCCAGGATTGTTAATTTGTTTAAGGGGTCGAGCTGTCAGTTTGTCCTCATCGAAGTAGTCAAGGCCAAAGTTAAAGACCGAGACGAGATAGAGAATTTAAGGTTAAAGTCTCAGACAACACTGAGGACACGATGGAGACTTCTGCTCACTTCAGCTGACATGGCAAGATTCACTTCTGCAATAAAACAAGTGGTACATCTCATCACATTTGTTATTTTGTCATTCCATCTGCAAAACAACGTACTGACCTGACACCTGCTTATATGACTGATGAACAATACCCTGTCATTAATTGTCCTAGCAAAACAAATAGATCATATGCACAAATGCAACAAGTGGAGTGTTGTAGTGAAGAATTACTATCCAATCCCACTATGACATCTTTAAGTTTACTATTTAATTGCTTTAGGACTGGGCCATTACAATCACTATAAAGTGTTATAAAGGTAAAAATGGAAGCAATAAAGTGATAGTGGCCTTAAAGATGGAAGCTCTAACCACTTTAAGGGTTTGCTTTTTGTATTTATATATAACCTTATATTTTCAGTTCAAACCAAAACTGTAATGACATCTTTGCAGTTGTTTGTCAACAATCTTATTTCATATCCACACCCTTACTTATAGAATATATACATCCGCCTGGGCTTTTTAAATATTGTGCTTCTATTTTCAGTCTTAACATGGCCTAACACTTTAGATTATACAGAAGTGAAACTGCCCTCAGTTTTAACTACAATTACAGGAGAAAACAGACTTGCCCAGAGGGGGGCTGCATCTTTCACAGCCTTCAACATTTTTTTAAAAATATTTTAAGTCAGCCTGATAAAAATAGCCGATGATAATGTAATGTGTTGTATGAAATCTGACAGCAGATTAGGTTTATTGCGTTTTCAGGCCTACACTGAGGAACTAGCAAGTGTGCCTTGAATGTAGCTTTCTCACACGAATACATTATCAGTTTCACAGCAGCTTCCTCTCTTGTGCTAAATGGGCTCACTGATATTACTGCTGTTTCTCACGCATAAAGACACGCAAATAAAAATACACACAAGCACCATCCATGGATTATTATTTTCTGTGCAGTCAAGATATTTGTGCAGCATGCAGGCGTGCATGCTCATACACCAACACACGCAAAGTTAAAGAAAGAGCCCACAGACATATGAAACCCCAACTTACATCCACAAAAAATAAACTATACCAACACAACGTATAACACAACAACCCCAACATATTCAGGCTTTGTTTATTTAAATGACTTATTTTGAATGCATGTGCTTTTTCTTGTTTAGGCTAAAATGTGTGCATGCTAGTTCGCCGCTCTCCTTCCTTTTAAGGCCATTTTCAGAGCCTTAACTCTGCCCTGCCAAGACCGCGGACACATACACACACACACACGCGCACGCACGCACACACACACACACACACACACACACACACACACACGAGAGAGGGAGAGCAGTCAGAGCAGCAATGCAGTTGGCTAACTACAGCAACACTGCCATCAGCCAACCAGATCCTGCCAATGCCTTCCCATTCTGAACAAACATGCATACATGTGTACATACACACACCCACACTCGCACACAGCTCTGGCTCCATCATCAACTGAATTACCTCACGCACATGGTTAGGGCTGCAGCTGGCTGAAAAGTTGAGGGCTGCTAAATATAAAAACACTGCAAGCGCACATACACACTCAGACACACACATGCATGCAACATCTTTTTCACTGACTCCCGTTTGTGCCAGAATACACACATGCACACACCCTGAAGAGACTGAACGTTGCTTCCAGTGACCTTATAGATGACGGCAGCTAGTCAGCTAGTCGGCTAGACAGCAGTCAACTGAGCCGCTCTGATTACTGGTTTGGGGATCTTGGGGGACTGGGTGTGCAAGCACATGCAGCCTTGCAGCTGGCCCCATCTGGAAATATTGCAGGGTTTTATGCCATGAGGTTTAATGTGGGGAGCCAAGCATGCATATTAAATTAAAAAAAAAAGACATCCTGCTGTGCTGTGATGAGCTGTCAAGCAAAGTCAGAGGAAAGCAAGCTGATCTCTCTTATTCCTAACTTCAAAATGCAAGCCACTCAGATAAACAAACTTAAATCAATGTGACAATTTTGTATTTTCTGACTGTTGAGTTGATGTATTAATTATGAAATAATAAGTAGAAAACTTATGACTGGCTGAAGCAAACCCCAAACAAACAGGAAACCGTGTAGGAGGCATATCTACTCACCAAAGACTATAAGAAGACGTGAATGTTGCAGATTCTTTGAGGTAATTCGCATTGAAATGTCAAACTGGGCAAATGTTGAGCTACATTAATGCATGAAAATGAGTGTAATATAAAGAAATGTGTGACAATAATCAGTGAGGCACAAACAGATTAAATCTGTATTTACTAACACAAACAGTAACATTTCTTCAAGCTTATTTAAGTAGGCTAAAGGGCAAACTATCTCTTACACAATCTTTAAATTTAATCAGTCTGAAACAAATGATGTGGAGTTTTAACAGTGACTCTGTGTGCAACACAAGAACAGACGTGATGGTCTGATTAGTTTTCATTAATCTAAGCTCTGACCAGTAATATCACTCCTTTTTTCTTTCAGCTTGGTTACCACCAAAGCATGTTCAACATCACAGCACACATTGTAGCTGCAGCTGAAAAATCAAATCAATCACTGGAGGCAAAGATGTGATGAACCACCAATAAAACACGCAGTTTTCCGAGGCAAAGCTAAATGTCATCACAGCTTTTATCGTGTTTTGTCATGTGGCAAACTGTACAACAAAAGGAGCTTCTTAGAAGCTGCAAAATATCATTTATGAAAACAAAACAAATGCAGGCAGAGAAATGAGATGTTTTGAAAAGGATGAGAGAGAGTGTGTTGTGTGTGTGTGTGTGTGGGCTGTGACTAAAACAGCTGTGCCTGCGTGTGTTTGTGTTTTTTATGTGTGTTAATTTAAGAGTATGTACAGTATATAACAAAACTGAGTACACCCCTGTGCAATATCACTACAATTGTACCATTTCACAATAAGTTAATCATTTAAAATTGATCTTATCTATGATTAACAAGACATACGGACCCCAAAATACAACTCTTATGCAACAAAGGTCTGTTTACCTGTGCTCCTTGCAACAAATTTGAGTACACCTGTGATTTCCAATCAAATGTAATTGCATGAACAAGGTTATAAAAGAACCTGTGAACACCACAGATTCCTCATTTTTTAGCATCGGTTCTGTCTAATGAAACATGGCTCCACATGGTAAGATGTCGCCTGAACAAGTAAAACACCAGATTGCGAGATTTCACAAAGCTGGCAGAGCTACGCCACCAATAACAGGAGACTGAGGTCAACCTCGAAAAATTATGCCATGCACAATTCAAATTAATTTTCAAAAAACTTGCATTGAAAAGAAATTGCTTCTGACTTGGCACAAAGATTATCTGAGGGGATTGGGGTTTCAGTGACTGATCACAAAGTGTGAAGACTGCTGCAAGAAGTCTCTACGGATGGAGTCCAAGAAGAAACTCAATGCTCATACACCAGCAAAAAACTACAGGATTAAACTTTGCCAAAGAACATGAAAAGAAGTCTGATTAATAATGGCATCACATTGTTTGGTCAGATGGAACCAAAATAATTTTGTTTGGATCAGATGGGGTCCAGCATGTTTGTTGTAGACCTGGCCAGGACTACCACAGTGACTGCCAACACGGAGGTGGGAGCATGCTGATACAGGGCTGCATGAGTTTGTTTACCCAAACACTGAATAAAACGTAAACTCCCAGTCTCAAGGAGGAATTTTCCAACATGACAATGATCCCAAACACACCGCAAAAAAATCAGAGTTTGTAAAGTGAAAACTGTGACCTGGCCACGTATGTCCCCTGACCTGAATCCAATAGAAAACCTTTGGAGTATTTTAAAGTAGAAGGTAGAGCAACCAAACTCCTCCAGCAAGAAGAAGCTTAAAAGAATCATCATCATAGCAGAGCATCTCTCCACAGATTTGTGCAGGACTGGTATCGTCCATGCCAAGGAGGATCAAATCTGTCATCAAACGTAAAGGTGGACATACAAAATATTACAAAAATAAAAGAATGCAATCTCACTAATGAAGGGTGTACTGACTTTTGTTGGAAAGGGGTTTGTAAAGATGGATCTTTCATTGTGGTTTAATTAGTCAAACATTCCTGTTTTTCAAATTAATTGGCTTCATTCATTCTTCTCGGACTTTGTCTAAAAACAAATAACATTGTAAAAATTGACAGGATTTGTAATTACTTAACGTTTTAGTGATATGGACCAGGGCGTGTACACAGGTTTTTTGAATACTTGCTTGTGACACAGTCTGGCAAATTGACATCAAGCAACCCTTTAAAGGCTTCTGCGGGTTTCCATCTTATTGATGAACAACAACAGATCTACAGAAACTACAGATATGAAACACGAGGTGAGGAACCTGCCAGCTGTTACACGTTTCAGTGCTGTGCAAAGTTCTGAGAAGAACCTCAAAAGTTGCAAGAACTGCAGACACAATCCTGTGAAACACAGTCATCTGAAAGCAAGCATCTGCTGTACCAAGAACAACAGTAACGGAAAAGTGCCAGACAGTGATTATGTGACATAAGTGCAGTGTGCTTTCTGGATCAATGACAATCTATAGCTTGAGCTATTATCCTAAAACACTGCAGACATAGGCTTTAACACCAAAAGATAGCCATCTCCCTCTCTGTAACCTACCCTGAGCCCTTTTAGACATCAATCAACAAGTTATCACATTCTGTTTGGAGTGGCAATTACTTCTCTCAGTTAAACCCTCAATTAAAATAAATATCCAAAAAGGAACACGAGTGAATGTGCTGGATTGTCAGAGTGAAAAAAATCATGAATATAACTGATATGAAATGTGTATATGAGCATGTGTTTCTACCTTTGGCGGATCATAGAGCTCCAACTGGTACCTCTCCCCTCCTCCTCTTCCACCTCTTCCACCTCCTCCACTTCCTCCTCCTCCTCCTCCTCCTTGAATGTCCCTGATCCTCCTGACCAGCAGGCGGCAGCGTTGCCAGCGGGGCTGAGAGTCTGAGATAGTGTCATCCACCAGTAAGTACCTCAGTTGGCCCTCCTTACAGCAGCCGCTCACCTCTGACCTCCTCTGCCTCATGCTTCTGCTGTGGAACCAACGTAAACGATCCAGGAAGTGAGAGGCTACTGCAGCCACAGACCAATTTGAAGCGCCTGGGGGGTTGCCCTCAGAGTTCAGACAAGAGGATGAGTGGGAGGAAGAGGAGGATGATGACACGTCCTCATTTGTGGAGGAAATCCCACCCACTCTGTCACCATTATTTTGGGGATTGTTGTTGTTGTTGGTGGGGTTAGGGCTGCTAGGAGACAGGTCCTGGGATGAGGGGGGGCTGGGGAGGGGCTGTTTCTTGAAAATCCTTCTTACGGTCTTCTGGATTTGACTGACAGAGAAGTGGGTGACGTCAGCGTGGCCAGGGTTGGAGGCTGAGGAGTCAGATGAGTACCGTTCAGATACCTGACGACGATCTGCGCCAGAGATCTCCTCATTGCTATGGCTGTGAAGCAGCAGTGACCCGCTGCCGATGCTGCGAGTCGACCCTCTGAGCACAACCGGATTTCCCGATAAGGAGTTTCCCGAAGCACATCGCAGCGGCTGCTCCTGTTCCCGGCTCACGACCACCTGCTCCACTTTTGGTGGCGCCAAAGCAAACAGAGCAGCTCCTCCACTTGGCCGGCCCGCCTCCCGATAGTCTTGCGCCCCAGACAAAGACTTGATCCGTGATCGACCAGTCACAGCCTGTGTTGGAATGGGACGGGCCACTGGAGATGTGGAGGAAGCACTACCGGTGGCGGTAGAGCATGTGTTCTGGCTGAGCGGAGTGCCATCTTTGTCGACCTCGCAGCAGAAGTGCTTCTGGAAGAGGTCGGTGAACTGCTTGGAAAAGGTCTCTGGTGGGAGCACGTCATGTTGTGGCCACTCTCGGGCGAAGCTCTGGTAGTGTCCAGCCAGCTGCCGGGCTGTGGCGATGGCGTGCAGCTCGCAGAACTCCCTCCAGCCTCTCGGGGGCACTGCCACGCCAGGGCCTCCTCCTGCTGTTGTGGTGGTGTTGGCTGGATGGATAGTGTTACCATTCATTGCAGTAACCAGACCGGCTGAGAATCACTGCTGCGAGACAAAGAAGTTGAAAAGAAAGAGAAAAAGAAAGAGGGAAAGAGAAATGGATGGTTGTAGAGGAGGTGGGGGTAAAGGAGTCGATTTGAAGAAAAGAGAGGAGATGATTGAGGGACAAACAAAGGAGAGATATGGAAATGTAATTAGAGGCAAATCAAGATAATGCAGAGTGTTGAGCAAGAACTGGAGCACTAAAGATGGAACTGGCAAAATAGTCAGAGCATTTCTTTGAAATATTTGAAAGTTTGAAACGGTTCAAACATTGAGAAAGAACAGCCAAAAGTCTGATTTTATCTGCACTCAATCTTAAACGGCCCAAATTGGATTACATGGGCCTGCAAAGAATCTCTGGCAATCAACCAGTCATAGAGTATCTTAATAGATAAGGACTGCCACAGTTCACTCAAAGGACAATGTGTAACCATTCAATTTGGTAAAAAAAAACTGAATCAAGAGCGTAAACACTCTGAGTACCTATAGACTTAGGAAATCAGTCGAGGTGAATAAAATAAAGAGAGAAAATGAGGAGAGGGAGGTGGAGTGGCATCAGTAAAGATGACTAAATCAGTTCCAAATTGCACCGATATGGACACAAGTATTTGAAATGAATGAAAACAGTAATAAGTCATTCGGACAGTCACTGAATGAGGCCCTGGCAGAGGAAGTACGGTTAGAAAATTTCTCAATCAGCCACACTGCCTGCTCGGCCATCTGTGTGTTTGTGTGTTTACATGTGACCTGTTTCGATATTCCTTCTGCTTTTTTTTTTTTTTTTCCTTCTCAAACCCCAAAATGAAGACTTCATTATGTCAGGACCATTACATGGACTCTGCACCCTATTTATTCAATCAATTTGTCTCTTTCAGCAGATAATGATAGACCAGGCTTGTTTACCTCTGAGAGAAAAACGCACTGCTGCTCCGCTAAATTTCTCACTAGTGAAGGGAATAACTGCTTACAAATGGGGTTTGATGATTATTTACAATATGTCATTGTACTGCACGCACTTGCATTTTTCTCCGATTTTTTTGAAGCAGATTTTCCTTGGATACATTGAGGTGGTGGTGCACAATAAACCTTGGGCAGCTTGGCCTCCAATAGTTTGTCTCAGCTATTTGTTATTCTCTGTTCTGTGCTTTGTTTCACTTCCCTGCTCCTGTGGCTACACACTGATACACTGTATTCTGGTTAGTTTCATCTCAGTAGGCTTGTCTTTCTTTGTTCAAACATGGACAGAATTATGAATTTAGAAGAGTCAAACATTTATCAAAATGTAGTGTTTCCCATCATCATCCTGTGCAGAAAGACAGTTCTGTACTTCAACAGTGCACATCCTCTTAACCATCCACCTTGGTTAGCTCCTCGCTTCTTTTGTAATTAGACGGATGAGTGAGTGGTTTTAAGAGTGAACCACATTAGTTCCACAGAAGAGAGGAAACAGGATGCATTCCTAAGTATTCAGTAAGAGCCAAACCCTGTGCTTCATCTTTTCAGACACCCTTATGCCATTCCTTGGTGTGTATATACACACACACCGCTGACCCACAAATACAGTCCCCCCTTGGTTAAAGAAGATTAGTAGTGGGAGAGACACATTTCTAAAGAACCTCATCAGGCCTTAGCTGATGCAAGAGTGAAGCTTCTTGGTTTACGCAGACAGCCTGTGGATGATACAATGTTGTAAAATCAGCCACAGAGATGTGAGATTTTCACACTACTGTGCAGCAAAACACTGACCTTTATATGTGCCAATCATGAGATATAGGGACATAGAATAACTTTGTCTGATTGTAAACTTTGACATGATTCTGCAGGATTCTGCAGTTACATTTGTTGCATAGGATGATAATGGTTGATAATGGTATTTGGAGAAAAGCATAGGACACAGGTAGAATATCTCACCATGAAACACTTACAGACAGGAAAACATTGACAACAGACATCAAAAGATAAAAACATGCATTACACCTAACAACTGCAGCTCATTTCTATACACTATTGTGCACATGCTTCCCATAAATGAGCAAGCTGAACAACAGCTGAATACACTCACCGTAAGACTTCATCTTCAGGAGTATTAACAAGGGTTTGTCATTCTCAAACTACAACATGTGCCTACAGTACATACCATCTTCCTCCAGTGCTGCAGAGAAGGGTCTATTCAAAATACAGGAAGTATGAGTATGATGTATGTGCATACGGGTGTGTGTGGGTTGGTGTGGGGGGAGTCACAGACTGTGGTCCAACAGATCACAGAAAACCACAAGAAATAAGGGGGGGGGGGTGCTGTGGTCGGGCCAAACATGGAGCAACATGTCTCGTTATCTGTCGGCTAACATCTCTCTCCCTCTCCGTGTCCTAAACGACGACATTCGGAGAAGAAAAGCTGTGAGTTCTTGAGACTGTGTCATGCAACGAGCCTGCTGCAATTTTTGTATCGTCAAACATACCAGGGGACGCATACGTCAATGAGGGAGTGAAAACTTGGCATCGTGAAATATTGCGTCACTAAAGTTCCTGGATGTGTCCTGTCACAACAACTAATTCCCTTCCTGTACTTTGCAGAGCATGCTCAGTGCATGCCCCCTTGTGCCCCTGCAGCTGGCCCCCCCAGAAGCCTGTTTCTATCTGCCTGGCCAGCCCAGCGATGACTCAGCACTGACTGACTACAGAACACACACACACACACACACACACTCACGCACGCACGCACACACACACGCGACACGCACACACATACAGACATACACTTCCTCTCAATGTATCCCTCTGGGGGCTCGGCCGTCTCTGTTCCCATGGTTTTCCCTTTCTTTTCATCCTCACTGTCCACTGGTGTGAGGATCTCCAGATGTGTTTGGGTTCATGCTTCCTTTACTGTTACCTTGACTAAGGGCCTAACAGAGCCACAGTCCAGTTGTGAAGGAAAACAAAAAGGCTAATACAGTTTGGTGTCTCCCTTCTCTGTTCTTATCCAGAATCTCTAACCTCAACGTGGTGCTTTGTTATCGTATTATTGTTTTGCTAGACAGCATTCAGCGGGGGATGACACAAAAGAAAGAGGCCAATTCAAACACACGACATTTCAAATGGAAAACTTTCCTGCACAATAGAGTCAAAGTTCCTGCACTCCCTCCTTTCTTTCTTTCTTTCTTTCTTCCTCACCTTACTCATCACTCCCTCCTCGTCCTCATCTTCCCCTACAATGCCTACATTCTTCACTGTGACATACGCACATGCGCGCACGCACACACACGCACGCACAGGCACACTGATTGCTTTCTTCGTCTCTCTCATGTGCTTTACAGAAATCTGGCACAGCTTTTTCCTGCAGCGTCAACACCACAAGCAGCCTGAGAAACTGCTGTCCTGAGCAACTGTGGCTGATGTCGACATCAGTCGCAGATTTTCTGACAAGAAAACAAAAATAGTTTAACCAAACAAGTGCTGCTGTTTGCATGCTTCACCTATGACTATGACTGTAATGCTGAAGCTCAATCGCCATTGTTTAAAATAGCAGTCAGTAACAGAGAGCGACATCTACAACAGTTGCCTTTATTGGGCAGATGCACGTGTCAGACAGGTGCTGGAAAAAATAGTCTGCCAGGAAAGCAGCTTGTGACTGACTGACATTCAGAGAAATATAGCAGTCTCTTCATCTGAACCACTGACATGCACTGTGCAGTCTACCAAATAAGGAACCATAAGTCAAACTACTTCGATCGGCTTCTCAAATGTGATGATTTGTTGCTTTTCTATGTCTACTCTTAGTAAATTGAATGTATTTGTGTAAATTAGCCGAAATTTTTACACAATTATCTAATGATTAGTCAAGGAACTGATCAGATAAATCAATAATTGAAATAATTACCCTGATGCACTGTTCGGGAGGTTGTCTTCTGTGCAACTCAGTCACTTCAAAATCTTAGTATAACTGTGATGTGAGTTGTTTAGTTTAAAGAATCAATTTCAAGATCTAAATGTGTTGAAAAGTGAACAAGATATCAGCCCGATACCAAATTAGGATCAAAGACAATAAAAGTGAGTAGCACAACATCTTACCTTCCCTCATAACTTTGGTGCTCCCGACACCAGAACTAAACTCCCTTTTTAGTTGGGACAGCCTACAACAGTTTTTAATCAAGCAGGAAGGAAACAGGATGCGTGAAAAGACACACATGAATTGATCTGGTGAGCATGAGTAAACCTCATGACTTGTGTCAGCTCACAGAGTTGATTTGTAACACAACATAACATTGAACGGGATGAAGGTGTGATGCTGTGGTATGTCATTCTCGCTAAATGCCGAGACACCACCTGGAAATGGAGTTAGGAGTATGCCTAGTTTCAGTATGCCTGAAACCAGCATTGCCCTCAGTAAGTCTCGGACCATAATGCTAAAACACAAACATTATCATTACATCTTTAAGATTTCAAAAAAAAAAAAAAAAAACGTAGGAGAGATGGCATTCATTTTTGCACACAACCAACAAATTAAAATCTACAAAGACACACAAAGACTGAAGCTTATACAACACAGAGAATTATCAGTTCTGCTGGTGGAAACCCTGTTGTAGGGAGGCCCTATTTATATCTCAAGAGCTTGGTATCAGCTCTCACACACCACTGTTTGCTCCCTGTTGTCCCCAGTTGGGGACAGCTCTTGCTTGATGCAATGGACACACACACATAGGCACAAAAGAGGTCTCTGAGCTTTCAGGTCATGTAATCATAGAAGGCAACAACCACCATGGCTGCATGCTACGGCCAGTGCCAAAGTGTCCTAGATGCAGTACTTCTAATGACCACTAGATGTCTGGTTGTTAAAATCTGACTGGGAGGAAATATATGGAAAACACCCCAATTTATGATTTCGTCCTTATCATTTTCACAGTTATCAATCTATTAAAGATGATGTTGCGTTTTAAGGGGTTTAGGTGAGTGTGTGTATAAATATTGACCTGGTGGTAGAAATAATTAGTCAACTAAGTGAT